TCATAAATGCGTGATTATATCAATGAATATATCATCAGACAATAATCATTTGAGGTGCAGTTTTCAGCGCGTTTACTCAAATCTACTGATGAAGTGTTGAATGTGGTAATTACGCACATTGAATGAAATGATAAAGTATATATATATATATATATATATATATATATATATATATATATATATATTCTCTCATAAGAGAAAATGACTCAGTACAAAGATGAATAACAAATGCAAGCAATATAGGAATGAAGAATTTATCTTATGAGGTAAAACAACTGTTTCACACCACACTATGAACTTAAGAACAGACAACAAGGGACAGCAACACAGAATAATATTCCATATATATTCAATCACTTATACGGGAAGGGATTAACACACGTGAAACCAAAGGAAGATAGTGAAGTTTTCCTACTGAAGTTATTAAAACTTGAAAAAACAAATAATTGTTATTATCAACCAAAGGACTAAATGCACAAGCGACCGAAACTAATTTTCCAGTTGACTACAACCAGTGCGTTTCCAATTTTTCCTCTGCTTAGATAAAACACAACTTGAAGCTTCATCTCTCAGTGTGAAATTCTGTCACAGATGTAATCAGGTTAATCATTTAGGGACTGATGTTCGATTGGAAAACTTATGTTTCCAGACAAACTACTTAATTCCTTAGTCCAAGTAGGACCTAGAAATATCCGGAAGTACCCTTACCGATTCTTGCTACCTGTTTACGAACAACAATCACCTTGTCAACGGTCTACTGACTAAGATGCATTACGTTACCCCAAGGAGAACGAAAATCTGATAATAACTGGACCTAATAAACGATCTGGTACATTTTTCATGAATAAGAGTAATTCTATAAACAAAATAAATTTCATTCTAAGTGACCAAACGAAATTTTAAAGCTAAATTGTGTAAAGCCGCAACTGAGGCAACTGGATGCCAAATGATGAATATACTGAAATCAATAACTGAGAGTAATCTCATCCCTAAGTGTAGGCCTGGCAATTTGAAACCTTTGGTTATGCACACACCAAGACTTCATGGTTCACTTAACGTCCACAAGCCCGACGTACCGCTACGTCCCATCCTAGATATGTGTCAATCTTCCTATCATTCTTCAGCAAACTGGTGGTAAAGGCACTGTCACGTATTTAACTTTGAAGAAACTGCCGAAAGCCTGGACATAAAGGGAAAGAAAATGATGTCACTAGATGTAGCATCGTTATTCCCCAACTGTCAAATATATATGTGAAATTCTTGAGGAATGTTTAGTTTCTTTTCAACAATGATATTTGTAGACAAGTTGATGGTGTTGCAATTAGCCCACCTCTGAGCCCTAAGCTAGAGGATAATTTTTTGGCAAAGCTTGAAAATGGTCTACTCAGAGACACGATTAAGGGGCTTGACTATTATTATCTGTGCATAGATGACACTTTCATAGTTTGTGATAGAAATCCTAATAAACAACAGCTTCTGAATGCTGTTGATAGTGTTCACCCAGCTATTCGGTTCATATGCGAGGAAGAAGAAAATAACATTTTATCTTTCCTAGACGTCCTCTTTACTATGAAGACAGACGGATATCTACTAAGGATTCTATTTAAAAAGAGGACTTGCACGAGTCGGTACACCCATTTTCGTAGCTTCACACCGATTCAATAAAAAAGAAACTTATTTAAGTATTTCAATTAGAGTAAAACGCATATTTTCAGAGGAATACATTAAGGAAGAATGTGTAAACTGAAGCTTACACTAATAGAAAATGGGGGATATCCAGGGAACTTCCTATAAATGTATATATCGATACCTTGAGACAGGCTAACGGTGGATAACGTGGATAAGAAACTTTTGTATCTTAAGTTACAAAGGGGAAGTTGCAGATGACATTCTGCAATGTCGACTTAATAGAACAGTTCAGAGGACATTCCCTGCAGCCAATCTGGCACTCAGCTTCTCAGCTAAACGAGTATTCACACTACGAGTGAAGAATAAATTACCAAAGATGGCCTCATCAGTGCCTATATATGTACTCAACTGCTCATGTGGAGCTAGTTACGTTGGCCGTATTCAGAGGGCTTTACCCATGCAACACGTGAACAGGTACTTGTATGGTTGAGTAAAGGGAAAACCAAATGCTTAAAGAGTGCATTTATAGCCCACTTTGTAGATATTGAACAATCCATAAAACCTGACCAGACATTCTCAGTTATTTATCGCGCTTCTGGTAATCTATCCAGAGGAGCTCGAGTGAATCTTCTATCAGTAGCTGAAGCGGTTGCAATCGATACCAGAAGACCGGCTCTTTGTATACAGAAGAAGTGTGTTCAACCGCTATGTTTAACTTGGCCTAAAATAAGGCCAACAAATCCTCCGTAAATGTTAGCACTTTAAATTCCTTTCGCAATTTTTCGTTTCTTCTTTTCTTTTTTTCGTCGACAAATGTACATTTCTAATATTTTCGAATTCATGAACTTTCTTATGATTTCTATTATCTTTGGTTCGAGTAATACTTTTATAACTTGCTATCATATTTACAAAATGCTGTTCATTTCAGTTCACTTAATTCGTCATTATTATTATTTGATAAGAGTTGGCCAATAGTACTTTTAAGTTTACACCTCATTTTATTTTTTCTTTAGGCTCCTAGTGGAATATAGGGCTTCAAGTTAGAGCTTCTAAGTTTCGGTAACCGTTGTGTTTATTTTTACGGGCTGATGTTGCTGGCTCCATGTCCAACCTTCCCTCTTTACCAGTTTTATTATCGGCTTAGCGAGGTAAAGGAGTTCGTTGGCTAGGGGTCGAATCATCGTTATCATTTCACAATGGTTATTATTGTCTTTATTTTCACTCTTGAACTCGCGTCTACTCTATCTCATTTGTTGGTTTGTTTCCCGTAGTATTCATACTGTCTCACACACCATTGATTACACTCATTATCGAAACGTGTGCTTTTGTTGACTACATTTATATTTACACACACACATCATTAAATTATTTCATCTCATTCTTTCTCATTTTTTCACTGACCATGCATATTCAAAACTAAGTGACTATTGTTCCACCCCATCCCGTACTTGTTCGACATTACACTTTCTGATATGATTCTAATTTGCATTTACTGGCTATTATATGCTTAAATTTATGGATTTATAATTTTAGAGCTTAAAGAAGAATTTATTGATAACAGTTGTTCGCTGTAACTGTTTTTGTTCTGGATAAATTATAAGAATATTCTTGTTACCTACTTAAGTATTTCTTATGGCAGTGCATGTTTCTCCATTGTTATTTTGTTAATTCTGTTCCATTTTTTCTTCATATTATCGTTAAATTACTTTATGAGACTAATGAATTTCTGTTTCAAATAAAAGTCAGTAGGCCTATAGTCAACTGAAATATGGATAATTTATGATGTTACTATTCTTCCCTCAGTCTTACTCTATCCATATAATTTTGTCTTCTCATATCAATGTGAATTGAAGTGAATTAAATAAACTATGTGAAGTGTGATTCTCTAAATTTGTATATATTAAAAAAAGGAAGAGACAATTATTCTGATAAAGGAACTATACTGCATATCTTTAAGATTGTATCATGTAACTAATTTTCTCTTTCGTATAATCTACTGTCGTCAAATTGAATAAGTGAACAGATGTTTCACAAGCATTACAGTAAGCTATTTAATTCATTTTTAGATTTCCCCGTCGACTGATTGAACCGAAGTGCTTGTTCTCAAGTTGACCTGTTGGCTTCTTGTGCAGATGTTTCGACGATGTCTGGGCATGCAATTAGAAGTTAATTTGCGGATGATGACTAGCGGTGGAATCCAGGTTTGAGCCTCTGCGGGAACACCATCACTCACTGGGGAATGCAGGTACATCAAGATGATGAGTCCCGAATAGGACAAAATGCGCATCCTGTATTCCACTGCTAGTCACCATCCACCAAATAACAGGAAGTTAATTTACTCATTCTACTGTGAAGTTATTGCCATATTTTATTTCCTTTATGCATATCTTCAAAAGCTATGTGTATATTGTGAATTTATGCAAACAAAGTATTCTGATACCTACTGAGACTCTTATTTTAAATAAAAAAAACTGAAATAAAATAACTGAAGATAAAAATGATTTCGATGCACATAATTCATTGTTGTTTACGCTTACCTACAATGAGCATTAATCACACTAGGCATAACAACAAAAGTAGAAAATAGAATTTTCTTTTGAGTTGAATTCACTTTAAAAGTGGGTATATTCTATGTTACAGTGACCGAGTAAATACGACTCACAGTAAATTAGTTTCTACGTGAAGTTAAAAAAATCAGCGTCATTGGAATTCTTCGTGTTCAGTCATTTATGCAAGCTTAGAGCATTTTGAATAGAGAATGAGTGAATATGTGTATTTTTTCAAACATTAAATAAAGAAAACTAAATTATGAAACATATAACATGTTTCTATTTAGAATGATTTATGAATAATGAACTATTGGATTCCAGCCCACTGGTTCAATGATCACTTTTTCGTTTCAAAACACAATGGCTCTGACATTCAACTAGCCATATAATCATAGGCTTTTTCACATGGAAAAGTCCAAATGAGTATGAGCAAGTGACATATATCGCCTAATTTTCAAGGACCATTGAAATACTGCCGGTTGATACTGGAAAATACATTCCACTAAATTCTAACGTGACAACTGCATAATGGTATGCTAACCAGAAGATTTGCTTTAAGAAAGAGTTACCAGTGAGGATTGATTAGCAGTTTAATAGTTAGTTAACGCTGAGTGTTTATCATGTAACTGAACATTATTTCGCTAAACTTGTCAAAATAAGTTAGAGAAGCTTAAATTAAACTCAAGGGACTTCATTGATTTACTCATTTTTAATGTGACGCATTGGCAGGGAAATTAGAAAATAGTCTGTATTGTAAATTAAGCTGACTAATAAAATAAAATAAAGAATAAAAGAAATTACGAATATAATATCAGTAAAAAGATGGGTAAAAAACGTGAACGAATGGAATTCTTTGTTATCACTCAAGTAGGTCAATTTATAAGAGTGCTGTAAAGGAGAAAGCAGTGGACATTGATTCTATTCTAATAAAGCACTAATAAGGAGTAAATAAAAATAACAATGATAGTCTGTAAGCTGACGGGTGTAAGGTATTTCATCAAACATGATGCTGTTAATCATCTGAGTTGGAAGCTGAGATTCTTCTCTCCATTCAAGATATTGTTTGATATGTACGATGCCGAAAGGTTCTAAACGAGAATAAATGAATACCTAATGGTCCGTGATTTTCAGTAGATCCCTCTCATAAGTAAAATAACTACACTTTATTTGATCAATTTTCGAAATATTTTCCATATTTCATTAGTTTTAGTTATTCATGTCACCAGTGAGCTTATGCTGACACTAAGAATAACTAAAAAAACAAACAAACAGCAATTTACAAATACATCGACACAACACTTTAAATTTAATTCTCACCATTGTATTACTGTACATTCCTGTATACTCAGCAAACGTTTAACGTTAAAAATCACTATCATGGTCATTCTCGGAATTACTGCGTTTCCTCAGCTGAATGAGTTAATTGTAAAGTTCTTATTGTTTTTAAAATAATGTCTGCAACAATAACCTTAATAAATTTTTTTCTTTACTAACCTTCTGTTTTATTGGTTGTTTTCTCAACAGCTGGCAAAAGTAATTATATGTGTAAAACTTGGGCAATGTGGTAGTACGTAATTCCATATTAGTTTGTTTATTAGATGTATCACACAGTGAAACAGTATTGTATACTGGATGACGTTTCGAACAAAATTTATTGTTCATAATCATATCAATTGTGGTCACACGACTTTGAGATTTGAGTTTTATAGTTTCCTTTGTTTTCTCCTATTTGTCGTATGGGCAGTAGAATTTTCCATATATCTGGGACAGGTGTTGAATCATTCCTATTACATGTATTTGCAGTTGATTCGATAAACAAAGCTTCTGTTATCAATCTCTCCCCATACCCTGTGACATTAGATTTTAAAATTGTCATCCTATCGTATGGTTGTGTGTCACTGCATGTAGTGGTATAGCTGAACTACTCTCTAGATTTCTTATCTTATTTGGGTCAACCAATCTAGATTTAGCTGGGTTTTTATGTTCGGCTATTCTGACTGCCCCTGTTCTAATAGTTTGACCTATGTATTTCACCTCACAACCATTGCAGGGTATTAGATAAACTAAATTGTTTTGTTTTAATGGCTCCACAGGATACTTTAACCGACAAGGCTTGTTTCTAATTGAGTTTGTGGGTTTGAATGCCACTTTTATTCCTGCCTTGTTAAGTATTCTGCGTAAGGCTTCCGAGGTTCCTTCCTTGTATGGTATTACTGTTGATGATTTAGCTTCCTTATTGTTGGTGTCGTCATTAATATTATTATTATTATCATAATTACTATTACCATTATTATTATTATCATTATTATTGTTATCATTATTATTATCACTATCACTATTATCATTATTTATTTTATTTTTACATTTACTTACATATTTCTTGATTAATTTATCCGGGTAATTATTAAGTTTCAAGGCTTCTTTTACGTGTATCACTTCCTGTCTCAGATTTTCCTTGGTACTGCTTAGTTTTTGCGCTCTGTCATTTAAACATTTTACTAATCCTATTTTTACTGACATAGGATGGGATGATCGGAAATCCAAATATCTGTTTGAATGTGTGGGTTTTCTGTAAACATTAGTGTTTACCTTCCCATCTTCTTTCCTTTTTACGTTGCAATCTAACATTAGAAGTTCCCCTTCCTGACTTTCCAATTCATAAGTGAATTGAATTGCCTCTACCTTCGAGTTGATGTGCTCGAAAAATCTATCTTATCTTGTGTTCTAAGTGTCTGAAGTACTCGACTGTGTCATTCTATAAAATGACATGTATCATCTGCACAAACCATTTCAAAGATATTATTTATATACTCATATACAAAAACCAATCCTTGAGAAGTTATTAGGTTAATTAGTTATCTATAAAATGATGGGTAATAAAAAGGGCTGAAGCAAATGCTATTCTCTGAATTCTCTTTCATGAGTGCAAATAACCCACAGAAAACTCAATCGTCTCCACAATTCGGACCTGTATCAATGTAATGACTGAAACCTAAATGTTGTGGTCATGGACGCAGGAAGCCGATCTCTGGGTTCTATTGTAAAGCTGGCCGGAATTTCCTTCCTCTATTCAAAGTCACAGAATGTCCCAATAACAGAGAAAAGACAGTTATCTGCAATTAAACCCGCAATGCTATTCAACAACCGCAGTATATATCGAAAGGTGAAATCATCTGAATAACACAATCAGGCAGACTCAGTTCTGACTCAATAGTGTCTCGGGTATAAAACTAGTGTTGTACAACAGAATTATTTGACTAAAATCAACTGTAAGAAGTACCTATAAATGAAGAGAACTATTGTCAACTAGGTGGGATGAAAAGAATCAGAAGAAATCACACATCTGAAAATTATCGCAGACCCTCCAAGGTCATGATGATTTGGACTCACTGAAACCAAATCGTGGTCATAAAACAAGCCCATTATGAATATAATTATTAGACGACCGGAAGGATAAGGAATGAAATTAAAGATTAAACAGGAGAGAGACGAATAATGGGGATTAAGTGGACAGATGATATGGGAACGTGAGGATAGCGATGTGTAGCGTAGGAAGAAAGAGGAAACATCCGATGAACTATCAATTGTGTAATTAGATGGTTGAGGAAAGAGTTTCCAAACAATCACTGGGTCAAAATGAATCGATAATTTTAACTTATTTTCCTATTGAACCGAATGGCACGCTCATGGTGCGGGAGGATATTGGCTTTCTCTGGATGAGAGCTTTCGGTGATGTTGGTGACATCATCTCTCAGTGTGTTTACGGTTGTCATCTAGATTACCAGAGCCGCCCACTGAATCGCCAGTGAGCAATTCGAAAGTCTACCTCTGCTCTTGAAGATTCCTGTCACTTCTGTGATTTATCATCTCGTTTGGTTTCTCACTGTGAGTAACCATTTCAGCTTCGAACATCGTGCATATATTCCATGCACGCATGCTTATTTTCGGTTTCACAGAAATGACACACGCTGGCTTATTAGTGCCTGGAGTACTTTCTCCAGACTTCAAAGAAGAATAAGTTTATTTTTTTGTATGTTTTTGATGTGGGCTGGAGTTATGGTAGTGACTGAATTGATTTTCTAGCGAGGAGTAACTATAACCACTCCGAACCTTCGCTTTCTTTTAGGACCGGTTATTTATCTGGTAAACTGGGTATTTGTAATTGAAAATCTCTAAACATATTTTCTTTTACTATTATTAGATATTCAGAAAATACAGCTGAATATATCTCATAATACTTTGATAAATCTATTAGCATTAAATAGCGAAACGTGAGTAAAAACAATATCTTTTTTTTTCATTCATTGGGAAATACAAAAACCTTTGTTATAATGAATATATCTCTATTTTCATTTGTTTAAATGTATTTCTGGTTTTCCTGTTGATTGAATTGTTTGGGGAAAGAGTTTCCAAACAATCACTGGGTCGAAATGAATCAGTATAAAAGTCGGTAAATTCACTTCTAAGCCATTGAAGCCTTTACTCACCTTCTGTTAAACTGAGCTGTGTGTCGAATAATATACTATAATATATTGATTGATCTGAAAATCATTCCTGTACAATCTGTTTACCCTACTGCTATTTGTTTGAGTATTTCAACTTATTTTTCCGATTATTATGCTCTCGGCTATCCTTTTCATCATCTAAAACTTTGCATGGATTCTTTTGATCCACTCTTCATTATTTGCGTGATATTTATTATTATTATTGTTCCCTTGGGTTCCTAGTGGAACATAGGGCTTCAACTGCACGTATTTCTGATTTTCCTGTTGACTGAGTTGAAAAACTGGTCGGCCCCTATTGATCATTCTGCTCCTATTACAATGTTTGAGGATTACGGGTTGATCACGGATTGATATCAGTTAGAGAACCATTGAAAACCAGGGAGTACTGGACAGCTGCTGTTTCATCCTAGTTTGGGAATCATCGGCAGTACGCACCCACTGGGATTCGAACCCGGGACCTTCCGGTTACAAGGCAAGCTCGTATACCTTTCAGCCACTGGGACCCGATTCAATGGCTCGTGAATTCTAACTTCTACTAATTTTTGATTTAGCGCGACCCCAACCATTGTCGTTGGTGGGACATCCATCCACACACGTGACATCTAATTGGACCTCACTGGTCACGACTTCTCACTAGAACTCAGGAAACTCCAACCTGTAGCAAGTCACTAGCGAGCATCAGATCAACTTTCTATAGTTTGGTTTGTAAGGATTAGTTATGTTTTACGGGTTGATCACGGATTGATATCAGTTAGAGAACCATTGAAAACCAGGGAGTACTGGACAGCTGCTGTTTCATCCTAGTTTGGGAATCATCGGCAGTACGCACCCACTGGGATTCGAACCCGGGACCTTCCGGTTACAAGGCAAGAAGTTAGAATTCACGAGCCATTGAATCGGGTCCCAGTGGCTGAATGGTATACGAGCTTGCCTTGTAACCGGAAGGTCCCGGGTTCGAATCCCAGTGGGTGCGTACTGCCGATGATTCCCAAACTAGGATGAAACAGCAGCTGTCCAGTACTCCCTGGTTTTCAATGGTTCTCTAACTGATATCAATCCGTGATCAACCCGTAAAACATAACTAATCCTTACAAACCAAACTATAGAAAGTTTGAGGATTAACTTGAAGTAATTTGATGGACGATGAGGCTCAATCGGCACACGACTACTCGTCGAAGAATGTAGGTGCATCCAGTCGATGACTCCTAAATGGAATGAAATGCATAATCTAAATTCCACTGTTTATCACTATCCCCAAGATTAATTCAACTCATTCTGTTTTATTTGATCTCCATATTTTCATTGGTGAAGTGATATTTAATTTATTTTATAGATGGCTTATTTAGCATAATTATCGGTGTTGTTCTGTCGACTGATCTGCTTTAGGCGTTACTCAGGCTTCGATAATCATCAATTGTTGGTTTGCAGAGATTTGATTGGTTACAGGAATGATCATGAGCTGACATCACTTAGATAATTTGTTGGTAAATCTAAAGTGAACTTTATAAAGACACAGTGTAAAACGGAGTAGGTATACATACAGACAAAAATAAAAGCATACAAGCACAAAAACCAAACATACACGCATGTATGTGTGTAACACCGAAATTTCTAATTGTACACCATGCACACCATGTGTTATCATTATTATGATTATGATTATTATTTTTGTTATCAAGTGATTGCATAAATTACAACCCCATGCATGTATATGTTTATATGTAGGTGAGTGTGTAATTCATAATTCCGAATCCCTCGTTGGTTGTTTTCTTAATGAAACACTAAATAAAACAAAAAAGAAGAAAAAAATTCAGTCTATAAAAACTACGTGGGCGTTATAAAAATTCAAATCAGAGTAAGGGAAAAATCATCATCAAAATACGGTATTGTTAATAAATAAATGACATTACTATTATTGTCAATATTTAATTCTTTAGACATTGTACTTGTAACTATCCTAAAAACACATATACTCATTCATTTATGAAAGTTTATTAATGGGGATCAGTTGAAATTCAAGCAATATCGGAAACATACTTATGGACAGCTATCGTTGGTTGCTACACTTATATTAATTAAAGTATAACTTCTGTATAATCCTAAAAATAATATCGTGTAGTATTTCTGATATAGAGAAAGAGATAATCTATTCACCAACTGATGTATTTGACAACATTCACACTACTACAATGGGATATAATTTGGACTAAAGCAGGGTTTCATGAGTTTTTACATTCATTCGTTTCTAAACAGATCAAATGCAATAATCACATTGAATATTCCAGTGTCTCAGATACTGCTTATTGCCATCATCATCACCTTCAGTTTCATCCTAATCACTGCAAACAACAAAGAACACATCACGTCTATGATTCCCAGAATATTTTTCATCGTATTTATGTTGTATTTGTATGCGTATTATTAATTTCATTCAATGTTAAGTATATTCATTGTAGACCTACTTCATTATCATTGAAAAACGATTTGAATGCAATTTCCTCATCTGATAGCATCTCATCATCAACTTCATATATTACTACTCCCCTGCCTTCATTTTCGTCGACAGTATCACTCTCAAGTATACATATGCCATCTGTATCACCGCCAATATCAATAAATGTAAAAAATAAATCACTGGGTGTAGACGATTTATTATTTCATTATTTAGATTTTATCACTATGAGTTTGAATCATACTAATGATATAAAAATAACAAATGTTTTTATGCGATCACAAAGAACAAAACGCAGTTTGTCATTTTATATGTCAAATTTAGATAGATCACCTCTGTTTTTAGCCCCACTAACTCAGAATTATACAAATAAACGAAGATATTTGAGTATTCATGACAACGGAACTATTAAATTAACTAATTCACATCGAGATATATCTGGTGAGTATTTTCCTTAACCTTTTTTATCTTAATGCTAATGTTGCAACGATTGGACTCTTCAGTCATAAGTAAGTCTTTTGTCAAATGATTCCATAGATGGAAAATCTTTGTCACATATACTGGAAGATCATTTAATTTTCCGTTCAAAATGTGATTCATTTTTTACCTGACGTATACTACTACACATAATCAGTAGAAAGTACTGTATAGCAGCTGTGAAACATGATCAATGAAAATATATCTGCGAAGACTTAATGTGCTTGTTCGCTTTTGAATTAGTAGCACGGAAAGCGTTTACTGAAGTCTCCATAAAAGAAGTGTAGCAGTCAGAAATAGAGTCTTACATCAAACATGTCGATCAGTAAATGAATAATGGATAATCACTGAGCATGCGTACTCACTGCACTAATTTGTTGTGCTAGTGAGAACTCAGTCAAGTTGTAAGTAAGCAAAGAGTAAAACAAACAACAAAATCTTTGTTTGTTGCTTTGATCTCTTTAAGAGAGCATTAGTAGCATGACAATCAAAACCAATAGTTGGATGCTGTAAGTGAATCCTTCTGCAGTCGTTCAGTGCATTCATGTCTTAATTTCATCTTAATTATGATATAACAGTTTATATCTTCTGTTTAACTCGCTAATATGAAGAATGGCAAGTTAGGTCACTTCTCAATAATCCTGAGTCCTATACTGATGGCGTCTGTGACCGAATTCAATAGGATTCATGAAATTATCTTGTATTTTAGTTTGTCACCTGTTAACATTTAGTAACAATTCACTTTGATATTATCAAACACTGCTGATCACTTGCATTACAATAACCATATTTTGCTATATTATTCGACTTTTTATAAGATTAATTTTGCAAAATTTCAATGAGTTTTTTTACTGTCTAATTAAGTTACAAAGTTACTATCATAAACAGATATAGCCTACATGAAGTTGATTACTAAGGAGTACTACTAAGTTCTGTCTAGTTTTCATTTTCACTCTTCAGTGGTGTACGTTTCAGAAGAACTCAAAACTCACTTTTAGAGATGAAACTGAACATTACACTGTTCCATCCACCTGTGTATTGAAACACTTAAGTAAATTTTTTTCAAATTCATTACTAGAGAGATGTAATTGATGGATGAAATCTATCGGTATGCATGTATTTTTATGGTGTAACAATAGGGTTTCTCAATTATTCTGGGCAATGATTTAATGATATCTGAGATGTAAAACCACTATCATGTATACCAATCATTTTTACTATGTAACTAAAGTTCAGTTTTGTTTTATCTAACTGAGTAATTGTTATGCATTTTATTTTATCATTATTCTGAACGATGTTTGTTGAAAAGCGATTGCAAAGAAACGACGATATGATATCATCTCGCGAAATTCGTCTCCTTAATGCCTCATTTTTATTTAAAGTTCAGTTGTTACAATCACTGGATCAATACATCAGAACCTAATCATTCAACTTAGGTTTCGAATAGGTTATGTTTGATTGCAGCTTTATCTACAGTCCTCCAACAAAAAATATTTCTGAATCCATGTACAATATTTACTTACCCTTATTCGAAACAGAATTCAGCTTATTTTTCCCGTGTTAACTGTTAAAAATCAATATGTATTATGTAAAACTTGCTTCACATGCATGAAATTATTACGACCTAATTAGTGAATCATTATTTACAAGTCAGAAGTAAATAAAATAGGTAGATAGACAGACAGACAAATAATTAAGCAATCTGCACGATATCATGAAATATAAATAAATCTACCAGACTTTATTGTGCATAAGTAGTATGAATAAATAAGTAGTCACAATATGATATCTATTTTGTAATTAGTGATACAATTTCCTGGGATTAATATATTATAAATGTTACTTTGAGGAAATAAAAAACAGTGCCTCTCCATCATAATAATCATTCGTTCATTAGAATATGTCTAATGCTTTTATCGATGTATTTGTACATAGGCTGTGTGCAAATACACTAAGTCCTTTTATAGAGGGAAAACAACTACACTTAGTGTATTCCTTTTGCAAAGTTTCTCAGAACTAAATAATAAGTCCTAGTGTCGAACAGTATTAGTTTGAAATAAAGAATACCGATTGTTTCCTCCGTTCAGTCAGCACTTAGGATGCGACAACTATTTTTTTTCTCTATTCCTTTACGTTTCCAGTGGAACATAGGGCTTCAAACAAGAGACTTGAAGTTTCAGTAGCTGTGGTACTTATTTTTACAGAATGGGGTTGCCAGCCTCATGCCTCATGTTTTCACCAGTCTTATCACTGGCTTAGGGTGGTAAAGCAGTGGGTCTGCTGGTAGACAGAGCCCCGAACCACCTGCGGGGGTGGCGAGTATTCTACCGCTGTGCCACGGACGCATGGAACAACTAAGCTGGTTATTGTCCAGTACCTAGACCCCTTATATGAGCCGACATTTTCCATATATTTTTTCCAATACTTTCAGTTTTCCTACTGATTCACGTGTTTATCACCTCATTTGCATGTAGAATGATTAAGCTGTGATAAAATGTATGCACATATTATTTGGAATAAGTTTGATACTACACTTTAATGTAGTGGTCTAATTTTTCATACATTTCTTCAGGCAAATAAAAGTAAGAGGCAAATGTGCAATTAAACAAGAAAAGTGGAAGGCAGAAAGTGCATCGCAAAGATAAATGATTACTGCAGCAGATGACAAATTAGTAGACACCATGAGGCATTATTATTTTTAAAAACGTTTTGGTTAACAACATTGATGACTTTGACTGATATTGATAGCCTAGTTTTACTTGAACGAAATGAATGACGTATCCCGAATATTTACCTATGTGATACTACCTTCTGGTATAAGATTTCTTTATGAATAATTCTAGGGCAGTGACTAATTCCAAAGGAGATTTCCTTATTGGCGGACATTACTTAAGGAACCGCTGAAAACTATCTGCCAATGAACAGTCACTTTACCTTCGTGGTACACATATAAGACAACCAAGATAAGAATCCAACACCTTCAGGTCATCGGATGGTGACGTTACCATTCAGCCATAGGTTTGGAATCCCGTGGCGCATGAGTTCTAACTTCTAACCAGTTTCATGTATAGGTTTTCATAGCAAAACAATGTGGAATAGTTATACAGATATGCTTCTGAATTTTGCATATTAGTGAAGAGTGCTTTTTATCTCTGGACCTCCTCTTTAAGTCGGTAGCCGAAAAGGGCAACACACAAAGTCATTTTTTAATGATGGGTTATAGTGCCAAATTTCTCAGCAACATAACTCAACTTTTGGAGTACTTTATAGCTTAGGTTTTATTGTACCCTATTTCTCCATGGATTCTGAAAAGGGGAATGCCATTTAAACATGAGATAACATCTCTACGGTTAAATGCTCCATTTAAAACTAATGCACTGATCATTATTAGAGTATTAGTTTGTTCTCTAAAATTCTTAACGCTATATACTACAATATTGAGAACTGAACCGTCGACATTCATCTATCATCTTATAAGATGCTTTACTATTAATTTGCTGGATCATAATCCAACATGTGATGTTTCCCAAATCCAGTCTATTTACCACTTGCTAACTGTAGCCATCACACTGATTATCTAGTGTTTCATTTTTACCCCAGAATTATTCGACTTTGAAATGACTTCTAAATCAGTCATTTTAATGGCAACTGAAGTATATGCAAATTAACTGTTTATAAATTATTTGAAAGACAGACTCATTAGATAAAGTCAGCATCTTCAGTGTGTGCATACCTGGAGAGAGAGGGTGTTCGGTATCTAAAGACCTTTGGTGATGTATTATTATTTCATACCACTTTTAAGGTCATCTATAAGAACTGAGTTGAGTTATTCATATGAAGATAATCATGAGGTTTTACTATTCGATCTAGAAAGATTCAACTGTATATATGTAAAAGTAACTTGTTAAAAAGTTAGTAAAACACGATTATAAAATCGTTAAGTTATTTGGTAAAATAGCTCCCAGTGGCTTAGTGGTATACAAACTCGCCTTGTAACCACAAAGTCCCGGGTTCGAACCCCGGTGGGTACGTACTGCTGAAGAGTCCCAAACTAGGACGAAACAGCCGTCCAGTACTCCCAGGTTTTCCAATGGTTCTCTAACTAATGTCAGCTCATGCTGAAATCCTGTAACCAATCAACCAAACCCCTACAAACCAATACTTGAAAATAGCATATGTTAGAATAACCGTGTAATACCGTTAATGTAGATTAAACAAAAGGCTTTCTGATGCTCTGTTGCTTATTTAAAATACCATTATGGGTAAATTTTGTTTTGATAAAGTCTCACAGTGTTATACAGTAATGTTTACTAATGACGTTTCGAGCACAATGTATTGCTCATAATCATATCAAGCAGTAAACATTACTGTATAACACTGTGAGACTTTATCAAAACAAAATTTACCCATAATGGAATTACATTCTACCACAGTGCACAAGTTTTATTCTTATACTTATTTAAAATAGTCAGAAATTAGCTTGACACATGAAGCTCTACATACTCTTCACAATTTATTATATAATGGATGTATATGATCATTTCTGAAGCTCATGGGGTGTTTATCATGCAGCTGTCATAAGCATACCTCAAATAATTTACATTTCTGGGATGATTTCGTAATGAATCCATATCATCTGGGAGAATCAGTGGTAAACAAAGAGCCTCATATGTATCCTTTCAATCTGGCAGATTTTTACTTAGTGTTAGTATGCTTTCCTTGTAACCTGATTGTCCTAAGCTAGATTTCCAGCAGGATTTGGGATTTACATTGCCGAAAACTTTTGACTGCAAACTAAATAACTGTTCAGTGACCCTAGGTTTTCAATAATTCCCCCAGGAAATATGCATTGATGCTAATCAGATCCAGGAAAACTCACAACTTAATTCCTTGTCTGTGTTCAGAAGTATCCTGATTTCTGAAGAGTGCCATGGACCTAGAAACAAAGTATGAATTATTCTTGA